ATAGAGTGTCCTGTGGTGATCGAAATCGAATTTCTGAAACTTTATTTGTCGTAATTTGAGAAATTCAGAATAAGAGAAAAAAAAGTTTAATGGAGAAACGTCAAGAAGAGAGACGGAGAACCACGCGGGAACAGGAGGTCAAGTTTAGGCCAAAGAGTCAAGGTAGGATTTGGCCATCGGGGGAACGGGGCCACAGCCGTCCGCCGCACGTGGGTACTGGGAGGGTACTAGGAAGGGGAGGGCCATGAGGCGAGGAAAGAGAGAGGGAGGGAGGACGACACCCCTCAGCTGTGGTTTCGAAGAGGTAACGAGGGAAACGAGAGGGGAGGGGATAAACAACAGTAGAAGGGAAAGCGAAATGGTTCCCCCAGAGAACCAGAATTGTAGGTTGAGTAGTTGAAAGGCCGGGGGTTGAAGAGCCCCTTTTGGCGATAGGGTGATAAGCTGATGGGGTGGTAAGGTGGTAGGGTGATGGAGTGATAGGGTGGAAGGGAAATGAATAGAGCGAGTTCAGAGTATTGATAGTGTTTAAGGGAAGCGGGGTAGGGGAGGCGCTGCGTAGTTATGAGAAGAGGTAAACACAACGAAGAAGGGAGAATGCGAGTGGCGTTGACAGGACAGGGTGTGAAGTGAGGGAAGTCCAGACAGGGAGATAGAGGGAGGAAGAAGGGTCGGGGAGAAGGGTGGGACGAGGAGATGGGTGGGGTCGGAGAGTTCAGGGAAGGGTCCGGTGGCCTACACCCTGAGGGACCCTTGCGACGGGCGTCTGTCTAGGGCCGCATCCCGAGGAAGACGCGGCGCTGAAGGAGGCAGGAATTCGAAGGGTCGCGCCGATGAAATCCGAAAATGGCGACACTGAAGACCATGAAATTAACCACGAACAGCAGTAGCGTTATTATCATGACGAGGGTTAATTGATGAGGACTGAGGTAATGAGGAGAGGCGTGGCGGCGAAATTTATGAGGAAGTAAATTAGGGCTTTGCGACAACGAATGGTGACAGAAAGCAGGGAGACTGTCCTCGATGCAAGGCTAATGAAAGCGCAGACTAGGTCGATGGTGCGTGCGCTTCCCTAGGCTTCAGCTACGGATACTGAAACGCTGAAGGAATGGCGCTAAGTGATGTGGTAATGAAGCTTCGGTTAACAAAGGCAAGAGGAACAAAGACTTGAGCCATTTGGAAGGATAGGTAATGACGTCTGAAATGCGTTACACACCGAAGAAATAAAAGATTTAGGCGTATGGTGTTCTTAAGCGACGTAGAATGTAGGTAGTAAACATCAGGGGATAATCTCTAGACGAACGAAAATAAACAACGTATATTATAAGAAAAAGAGAGATGATGAACGAGTGGTTTGGACGAAGAATTGTAAGAGCGATGTCATAAGGAGATCTAGATGATACATTTCGGTGCGATAAAGGCTGAGCGCACAAAAGTGGAGATTAGAGCTCGGACGATAAAGGTTTTAGTGACGAGGTTTGGGGTTGTAAAATTGGGGGAAGGAAGACTTGGCGATAAACATTGAAGGAAGAAGGATTAGAATGAGGCTTATATAACTGACATAAGTTAGATAAACAAGTGGCCTTGCTTGATGTAGAAATGGAGAGTGGAGACGAGCAGCGAGGATGAGCAGTGGATGTCAGGGAAGAGCTACATAGTGGGTAATGAATGCCCTTCTCCTCCAGACTTTTGTGTTCCGGATCATTACCACTTTACGCGCATAGCAAATCCTTCTCATTGCCCATGATGCCGAGTCTTTTCTATCGATTGTGAATGCACATTTCAACCCAAGTTCCGAGAAACGAGCCCTGGTGGCGTGCCCGGGACACAAGGTGGGCGCTGGGGTGGGGGGAGAGGGGAGAATGGAGGGAGAGGGGGAGAGGGGGGAGGGGGTGTTCTGGCAGCGGAGTTAGCGGCAGGTCTCGCCAAGGCTCTCGGTCATATCCGCCAGCGTCCCGACTCCCGTAGATGTGTGCCACCTCGCAGTGCTGGCTGTGGCGGCGGCCTGCTGGGACCTCCTGTGTGGCCTTTCCCGCGTCGCGTCCTCCTCACAGACTCCTGGCTTCGACCCCGAGTGCGCCGCGTCAACCCGACTGTTCATTCCAGCACAGAAACGGGAACGTATATATATTTTTTTTCTCCCATCGTGATCTTGTTGGGAAAATAAATAGTGCGAGAGTTTTATATTACGAAGAAGAAGAAAGAAAAAATACAACACGTATTGAGATCTCCCGTGAGTGTGTGTTTTTAGTGCGATCGTGTGTCTGATTTGGTCGACAGTCGCAGGATTATCGGCGGCGCTCTGTCCGACGCAAGCACAAGCACCAGATGCATAATTATAGAGTGGTTCCCCAGAGGATCTGAGCGCTTCTTGAGGGCGTGAGTGTGGTGGCACTGAAGGCCCCTGTAGTGCTTGCATCACCACGCCACCGCATCGCCCTCCTCCCGTGGCACCAACAGAAACATGGCACGGAAGAAGAACAAAGGGCACGGCAAAAAGGTAAACACTAATGTTGAGCCGAGGATGCCACGCCGTGACACTCTCAGGCTCTCATGTTTTCCCCAGGCACGTGACTCTCCGGTAGACAATGTACCTGAACGCTTACTCCCCCCCCCCCCTCTCTCTCTCTCTCTCTCTCTCTCTCTCTCTCTCTCTCTCTCTCTCTCTCTCTCTCTCTCTCTCTCTCTCTCTCTCTCTCTCTCTCTCTCTCTCTCTCTCACACACACTCTTATTGTCAGTTCATTCAACGATTTCTTTTTACGTCTCCCTTTCCATCTACACCACCGGAAAGTGTATTAAATATCTACAAATAATCTCTGTCCCTTCTCCTTCCCTTATCTCCTCTCTCTCTCTTTCTCTTCCCCTCTTCCGTCGGTCTACTACGCTCTCTCTCTCTCTCTCTCTCTCTCTCTCTCTCTCTCTCTCTCTCTCTCTCTCTCTCTCTCTCTCTCTCTCTGTGTGTGTGTGTGTGTGTGTGTGTGTGTGTCTCTCTTTCTTTCTCTCTCTCTCTTTCTTCTCTCTCTCTCTTCTCTCTCTCTCTCTCTCTCTCTCTCTCTCTCTCTCTCTCTCTCTCTCTCTCTCTCTCTCTCTCTCTCTTCTCTCTCTCTCTTCCCCTCTTGCCGTCGCTTTCCTGCTCTCTCTCTCTCTCTCTCTCTCTCTCTCTCTCTCTCTCTCTCTCTCTCTCTCTCTCTCTCTCTCTCTCTCTCTCTCTCTCTCTCTCTCTCTCTCTCTCTCTCTCTCTCTCTCTCTCTCACTCTCTCTCTCTCTCTCTCTCTCTCTCTCTCTCTCTCTCTCTCTCTTCTCTCTTCTCTCTCTCTCTCTCTTCTCTCTCTCTCTCTCTCTCTCTCTCTCTCTCTCTCTCTCTCTCTCTCTCTTTATCCACCTCTTCCTCTGTCGATATAACATTCCCTACCCCTCCATGTCTCAAATGTCCCCCTCGCAACTGTATCCAACATTCTCCTTCTTCCTCCTCCCCCTCCTCCTCCTACTCCTCCACCTACACCTCCTCCTCCTCCTCCTCCTCCTCCTCCTCCTCCTCCTCCTCCTCCTTCCTCCTCCTCCTCCTCCTCCTCCCCATGTTCTTCCTCCTCCTCCTCCCCATGTTCTTCCTCCTCCACCTCCTCCTCCTCCTCCACCTCCACCTCCTTCCTCCTCTTCCTCCTCCTCCTCCCCCCTGACAACTAGTTACCAACACCTCCCCCCCTTGCCGTACGGGGTCTCGAGTGTCACTAAAAACCGACCCGAGGAAGAAAATTTCAACGAGACCGCAAGGGTTACGGGGAAGAGACCTCTGTCGCAGTAGGTGGGGGAGGTTAAGAGGTTCAGGAGGAGGAGGAGGAGGAGGAGGGGGTGGGGGTGAGGATGGAAAGGAGGAGGAGGAGGAGGAGGAGGGGGAGAAAGAGGAGGAAGGGGAGGAGGGGAGCAGGAGGAGGAGGGGGTGGGGGTGGGGAAGAGGGAAAGGGAGGAAAAGGAGGAGGAAGGGTAGGAGGAGGAGGAGGAGGAGGAGGAGGGGGTGGGGGAGAGGGAGAGGGAGGAAAAAGAGGAAGAAGAGGAGGAAGGGGGAGAAAGAGGAGGAAAGGGGAGGAGGAGGAGGGGTAGGGGGAGGGAAAGGGAGGAAAAGGAGGAGGAAGAGGGGGAGGAACAGGAGGAAGGAGAGGAGGAGGAGGAGGGGGTGGGGGAGAGGGAAAGGGAGGAAAAGGAGGAGGAAGAGGAGGAGGAGCAGGGGGAGAAAGAGGAGTAAGGGGAGGAGGAAGAGTGAGGGGAGAAAGAAGAGGGAACGGAGGAAGGGGAGGAGGAGGAAAAGAAGGAGGGGGTAGGTGGAAGAGGGAAAGGAAGAGGGAGAGGAGGAAAAAGAGAAGGAGTGGTAGATGGAGGAGGAGGAGGGGAAGCAAAGGGAAGAAAAGGAGGAGGAAGAAAAGGGAGATGAAAGGGGGAGGGGGGTAAGAAGAATAAGAACATAGGGAAAAGGTTACGAGAGGGAGGAAGGAGATTGAGGTAGGGCACGCGACACCCCTTCTCATTACATACCCCCTCCCCCTCAACCCCCAATTAGATGACCTGGATACCCCCCTCCCCTCCCCTCCCCCCTTCACTCCCCTCCCCCATTCCACCTGCCAGGTCTTTTCCCTCCGCTTGCGTCGAAGAAAGTACGCCTCGGGCCAGTCATTAGCAGGGGTATGGGTAAAGACGATCTAACGAGAGAGGAACGATTTGCGATGCCTTGGAAGAAAGGAGAGACGTTTTTCAGATGATTTCGGTGGATTTCACGAGGTTTCGGAATATTTCAGGTGGTTATTTCGGGATGTTTCAGGAGAGAATTTCGGAATATTTGGGATTTCAGGAGAATTCGGGATATTTCAGGAGATTTTCGTAATGATTTAGGGTAAGTTAAGAATGATTTAGCTAAAGGAACTCGTATATGTTATGAATAATGGTTTCAGTTAACTTCAAAAGATTTCAGATACTTGCGTGTCGATACGATGACTTAAGATGGTTGAGGATGACCTAGTGAGAAAGGATGACTTTGAAAGTTTGTGATGATGGGCGTATAGAGCGACGGAGACAATAAATACGTAGTTTTAGATTTTAAGAGATTTCAGATGCCGGGCGTAGATGCGATGGCACGATGACTAAGGACACGGGATGACTTTAAAAATGGACGGAGAGATGGTTTTAAAAAGTCTTTAGAAGACTCTGTGAAAGCTTTTAAGTAGTGTGTTTTTATGTAGTGGTTTAAGATGTTTTAAAGACAAAAGGTGACATAGAAACTTACGGATGTCTGAGACTACAATGCGATGAAAACAAAGGATTATTTTGATGATAGGGTGGTAACGGAAAGTCACACAGAAGAGAAATTGAAGTTCCTGTATTTCCAAACATCCAGCTGATTTCATGCCGTAATTTTTTGTAACCGATTTTTCGATGTGGAAACCTTGTCTCGCCCCCTTTTTACCTGCGAGGAAACCGTTCTCTCTCTCGATTTTAATGATATGGTATTCTGGTATCTTACCTGCTTGCTTTTGTCGAAGGTTGTATAACGACTCCGTAATTACCGTACATGCGCACAGGTACTTCGGATCAGTAGGAAGAAATATGAAGAAGAAGAAGAAAAAAAAAACGTATGAAGAAAAACAACAAAAAACGTACGAAATAGAAACGAAAAACGTACTCATTGAAAAAAACGAAAGAAGTACAAAACAAAAATGTAAAACGTACTTAAGAAAAACAAACAACCTCACACCAGGGGAAAAAAAAAACGCGAATACGTAAATAAATATTTGTTTTCAGTTGATGCCTCCTCCCTCCCCCCCTCTTCGTCTCACGAGGGTAGCCTACCCGTACCAGCAAGGTACCGTGACGAGAGCGGTGCGTACCGTAACGAACATGACACACAAAAACGTCACAGTCCTGGCACAGACGACGGCAGCGACGACCGCCATCAGGAGGGGGCCGCCCAAGCAAGCCTCGCCAAGAAGAACATCAAACGAGCCAAATATCGTCATTTAAGAGGAACATTTCAAGAATTTTGACGCAGACGACGCGTATATGTGTTCATGCAATCACATGTATACACATACTTACACAGACACAGCTTGAACAGATATGAAGATGCGCAGTGACACACACACACACACACACACACACACACACACACACACACACACACACACACACACACACACACACACACACACACGTAACCATACAAAGAAAGGCAAGAAATTTCCCGTTCCTTGCTCCCCTAACCTGTCCTTTATGTAAAAGAAATATCACGTGACCTTTTTCTTCTTCTTTCCTTTTTTGTCTACTTTTTTTTCTTTTCTTTTTCTGCTGCGTATATGCCCTGACACATTCCATGGATATATATAAACGTTTGGTTCTTTATATAGTTGGGTTTCGCAAGGTATGGGCGAGAGAGGGAGAAGGAGAGGGTGATGGAAAGGAAGAGGAAGTAGAAAGAGACAGAGGCAGAGAAGGAGAAAGAGAGAGAGAGAGAGAGAGAGAGAGAGAGAGAGAGAGAGAGAGAGAGAGAGAGAGAGAGAGAGAGAGAGAGAGAGAGAGAGAGAGAGAGAGAGAGAGAGACGAACAGACAGACACAGGCATACAGACACAAACAGACAGGCAGACAAACAAACAGACAGACAAACAGACACACGAAATAACAAAACAGACAGAAAGCACAAATCTTAAAGAATGAGAGAATTTCCCTCGCTTTCCCGACCGGCGACCCAGCGCGATTCTGCGTCTCAGTCCCGACCTTGGTCCCGCTGGCCAGGTGTGCGTCCACATTCCACCGCCGCACGCCCGTCCACCGCCGCCTTCCACCGGCCCCGCCCACTGTGGCCCCACCTGTTGAGGCCATGACCGCCCGTGTCACAGGATCCGCACCCGTTGTGGGTCAGCGGGGCGGCTGGTGGGGTGTGAGGCAAAGGTGGGTGGGTGGGTGGGTGGGTGGTTGGGTAAGTGAGTGGATAGGTGGGTGGGCGGGTAAGTGAGTAGGTGGATGGGAGGGTGGGTGGGTGGGAAGGTGGATGGGTGGGTGGGCGGGTAGGTGAGTAGGTGGAAGGACGGATGGGTGGAGGGTGGATGGGTGGGTGGCTGGGTGGAGGGACGGGTGGGTGGGTGAGTGGGTGGGTGGGTGAGTGAGCGAGAGTGCACGCTGTGATTGCTGGCACGAGGTCAACGTGTGACAGATGTTTGTGGAGAAAAGAGAAGGAAAACGTCCGATAAAGAGGCATCCAGCTAACACGAATTAGAAAACGAGATGAAAAAGAAAACGTAAATTAGCGAACACGCGGAGACTAATAAACGAAGAGAAAAGAACGAAAATTGACACATGGAGGTGAAATTGAGATCAAGGAAAGGGAGAGGAGAGAGAGAGAGAGAGAGAGAGAGAGAGAGAGAGAGAGAGAGAGAGAGAGAGAGAGAGAGAGAGAGAGAGAGAGAGAGAGAGAGAGAGAGATGGAGGGAGGGAGGGAGGGAGGGAGGAAGAGAGAGAG